TATTATTATTATTATTATTATTATTATTATTATTATTATTATTAGTAGTAGTAGTAGTAGTAGTAGTAGTATTTATTTTATTCAATAAACATGGAACTCAGTCAAGTGAACATTTAAAGATATGTCACAAATACCATTGTCTGGTGCTAATGGTCGATATGAGTTGCTGCCAGTGTCCGAGTTATAAACCAGTACCTTCTTAAAATATATGATATTCCTAATAGTGCAGTTTTTTTGCAGTTCCGCTGGTGTTGTTGCAGGAAGCTGCAATTTCATTATGTGCTTTGTAAAATTCTTGACATGGTACCAAGTGCCTCAATAACAATGGATATCAATGTTGTTGTTTGTTGTTATTATTATTCATTGCACAGTCAGCCAGATGTTCAGACTGGGTTTGGCATGTCTGTTTGAATTCTGAAGTCTCAGAGCAATTTAGCTTCATGATTTTTTTTCTGTTTTATGGCCCCATCAATTCTTGCTTGCAGATAAATGGTATTTACTGTAGATCTTCCAATGCACCATTGTTGCTAGTTTGTTATGTTGTTGTTTGTAGTCAGTCCATGCTATCTTCTTACAGCAGGTAACTCGGCTGCCCACTGTTTTTTTCAGATCCTTTGAAGAAGCGGCATTTGCTGTTTGCAGTTGTCATCTCAACATTATTATTATTTTCTGCATTATGCAATTTTTTAAATACATAGCTGTTATTAAACTTGAAAAGCGTTCATCTCATAGCAAAAAATAAAATAACAACTTAACATTTCCCTGAAATCCTGCTGACAAAGTATTCTTTTTGGGTTCATTCTCGTTCTAATTAATGATTTTCCCAGGACTTTTCATACAAGGCAGCTCCATTGAATATGGAATTATTATCTAAGGGCCTTTATATGTTAATAGTAAAGGTGCAGGGATTTTAAAATGGAACCTTCTGGAAAAAATATACCTGGACACTGGATCCAATATATGCACATTGTTCCCAATGATTTGTTACACTTTCAGCCTAAATGATATGCACTTAATGATATTGATGATCCATACTCACCTTTTTGAATAGATGGTAAAAAAGTTTTCTCAGTTCTAATTGAATAAACTTTTTTAATTCAATATTTCCTTTCCATTTTTCCATTTTAATGCTTTTCATTTAAGGTATTTTAAGGAAGAAAGTACATTTCTGGTGCTGTGCCTATTGGTTGTAATATATAATAATGATAACTTTTCCTATTTAAAAGGCAGCATGTCCTCATTTTAAAATATGCTTTCTCTGATTCCACTGCAAGTTGGTTAGATTTCATCACATAATAGTGATACCACTCTCTTGCATAATCTGTACAGTTTGCACAAATAATTCCTCTCTTCTACAGCTTTATGAGGCAATAATTTTTCCCCTCATTTATCTACTCAGGAACTGGATTATTACCTCATAAAATATCGTGATGAACGTATTATAATTTAATTCTATAGCATGTTGAACTTTTTTTTTCAAAATGTTGCTAGTTCTGCTAATGGTGCTTGGCAAACCCTGGCCAACCAATTACTTATCGTTAAATATGCTATACGCTCCCAGACTAGACATCTTGAGTCTCTTTATTTTGCAGCCTTTGTATGTTGCTGAAGCCCAAGAGCAATCCTATGTAATGACGGGACTGGAGCCATACAGAACATACTCTTTTACCATTACTCTCTGCAATCGAATTGGATGTGTCGATAGTAAGCCAGGAATGGGACAAACTTTAGCTGCTGGTAAGGGAAAAGATAAAGTGTCTATGTGTAAAGCTAGTTTATAATTTTCTAAAGAGGATACTAGGGATAGTCAGAGATGCTGTGTTATTCTTTTTATTATGTGACTGATAATTGCAAGTTTAAAAAATATAGTGTGTTTTGTAAATTTTGTTTTTTTCATTCAGTTCCATCTGATTCTTGGAGACTACCTGGATAATAAATGCCTTGTGGTTTTCTTGACAAAGTTTTTTGCAGAAGTGGTTTGCTCAGTGGTGGGTTTCAAAAAAATTTGGAACGTCTTCTGTAGGTGTGGCCTGCTTTGTGGGAGTGGCTTGCTGGCCTTGTGACCAGGTGGGAATGGCTTGGCAGTCATGTGACTGGGTGGGAGTGGCCAAGATGAATTCTTTGCCCCAGTGGATGATCTACAAAAAGCGATAAAAAAAGGAAATTTATTATTTTGTGTACTTACTACTTAAATAAGATTAAAATAAGTACACAAAACAATAAAAGAACTACTTACAGAAGGAAGATGACTGACCTTGCCAGTCTTCAATATCACTGACACCAATGAATGACCTGCACAAAGAAGAGACACAGAAATGAACTCTTTCATTGCATGCACTGCATTAGGATGAAACCACCACACAAAATAATAGAAAAGGAAGATGACTGTCCTTTTGTGTGTTGCAGTCACCCTCTGACCACCTTGCTCCAATGAATAGCCTGCACAAAGAGATACAGAAAGGAAAACTTTAATTGCTTGCACTGCTATATTAAGGATGAAACAAGCACACAAAGCAATAAAACACCTACTTACATAGGAAAGATGACTGTCCTATTGGTCATATTCTGTTGCCTCTTCATCCTGTTAAATAATACTAACTGCAGAAGAAATAAAACAATATTGGACTCAATTGTGGTTGTACTACACTACACTACAGGTAACAGAAGGGACCTCTGTTTTCACCCAACAATGTACAGTCTTTTCAGGAAGGATGTCCCCCAACAAACAGGAAAGATAGTTTTTCATCTAAGAAGTTAGATCAAGAATGAATGTCATAGGTAGATTCACAGAGCAACACAGATTTATTTTTCTGAAATTTATCCCTCAGTTCAAAAAACAGGAATATATGAATTAGGTTCAGTACTTAGGACAGCCCAAGTAGGTATTCAAGAGTTAGTGGTGTCATGGTTAGAAGCAATGGTAAAGCAAGATATGGATTTAAAACCAGTAATATTTGGTTGGGCATTTCAAAGGTAATACAATACATATTTAATTGTACACATGTTAGCAGCTGCTGTCATGATAAATCACAGATTACGTTTGACACCCATGAGCTATAGTAACTATGATTGTGACAATGACTACTTTCAATATGATGCAACTTTGTACATCATAATCTTATAGCATTAAATTTATTTTTTTACTTTATAGCCTTTTCTATGGTAAGAGAAGATTATCTCTGTCATAGCGAATAAGTAATACACTTTTTATTTGGAGATTGCCATTTAGTCTTCCTTTCAAGTTAATAATTATACATAGAAAATTAGCATCTCAAAGAAAAAGCAAGTTTTCTTTTTCATATAAGAGTTTGTGGGAGTTTGCTAAGTAAAGCACAATACTTAAATACTGTAGTCGGCAAACAGTTTTGCTACTCATGGTCCATCTCTCAGTTTTAATTGAGGAAGTAGGAAGCTACAATTCATATCATTTTTGAATCCAACTGTCACTTTTCAGTGTCAACTTTTTTGAATTTTTGCTGCTGAGTAGCTTAAACAGTAATTAATGCAATTTATATAGGATCTTTATTAAAGTAGAAGTTTCCTTACCAGTTTGTCATTTTTAAAATCTGAATTGTTCATTGAAGCCTGACAGCCTATTGACTTCTTCAAAATTAATTTCTTTCAAACCAACAAATGGACATCTTAACTTTAATTAAGATGCACAAGAAAAAAGGCAATTAACAAGTATATAAAAACCCTTCCTACCCCTCTGGATGGTATGTGTCTTTTTCAATATTGGGTCCTCTACAAGATGCCTATGAGTCTGAGTATTTTAAGACTTCTTGTCCACTCTTCTAAATAGAGAGCTCTGATTTTGTTCCTGAGATCTCTTGGAGTCATTCTCCCACTCAGGAATCATAGCCCCAAGTGATCCTACCACCACTGGGATCACTTTGGCCATATCCGCTCTAGTTTTCCTTCAGGCCCTGGTAATTCTGCAACTTCTCATACTCCTTCCTGATTTTGCTGTCCCTTGGCACCACTACATCTATTATCACTTGTCTACTACCATGATGTCAACTTGAATGGCTAATATCTGCCTGACCATGTAGCCCACAAACTAATACAAATAACATCAGAGATAACCATCTTGCATTTTCCAAACACTTCCTTCACAATCAACACAGGTTGATTGTGCTATTGTTCCCATTCTCTTAGTAGGAAAAGTAAAAATTGAATTGTAGAAAAACAGAGTTTGATGTTTTATTCAGCAGAACCATTGGGAGTCAATAATATCTCTTCTATACAGAATTCAGGCTCTGGACATACTAGCAGGTAATATTATCATATGCATTTAATCTATTTTTTCATTCTTACATATTTTCTTTCTTGGCTATCTGTTTTTAAATTGAAAATATTGGAAGAAAATTACACTATTGTAATTTCTGACACATGAAAGCAAATTCATAAAAAGTGATAGGCAATAGCCATGAAACCTGAGTAATTGTTTTTCAATGAAAAATCACCAAATATCACTATTAAAATCAGGTCTGAAGTTCATGCAAATCTTCCTACTGCTTGTGCTGCCAGTGAGAACAGCTGGTGGCTGTGGGAAGATAACCATTTAGTTATTGTCTCTTGCTCATGTGTCAAAATAAAAGTGAATATTTAGACATGCAGGGGGGCTGACAGGTCCATCTGTGTAGGTATTACCACAAAAAAAGAAAAAAACCCAAACCTAGATAGCAATATTGCCACAACCAAGCTAGGAAAGAGCTTGTGTGATGTTTGTGAATATTTCTGTCTTTCCTTGGTTTGCATTGTCATGGAGACTAGGATCAGCATGAGAATATGCTATTAATATTTTAGAGAACTTATTTCTAATATTCAGAAAAATAATAAAATAATGCAAAATCATTTGCATACAGTGTGCAGAATATACAAAAAGAATTCTGATACCTGAATTACAAGCAAATGTCCAAATTCCCACTGCTGCTTAACAATCTGTTCATCTTCGTGTATTTGTTTCTTCTAGGTATTCATCATTTCTAGTGAAGCTATGCAGTAGCACTCATAAGCGACCATTAATTTAAAATATTGTAAAAACTTTAAATGGCCTGTATCTAATAGACTTCCTTTATGTGAACGTGAAATAAACAATGTTATTGATTAGATAGTCCTAGCACTGCAATTCTGAATCGATGAACTAAACATTTAGTGGTCATTCAATTGAATGATATTATAGCAGGGGAGGGAGGAACCAAGACACACCTCAGTGCTACTATCAACTCATGATGATTATGTCTATCCTTTGAAATAGTACAGATTATATTTTATGGAAACTCGTGGCTAATTCTAGTCTAATCATGAGCAAGCAATAAAGATTACACAAAGAAAAATAACATCCTGGCAAGGTAGTTACAGTTTAGTAAATTAGACAGGAAACTACTGAATCTGCTCTTTTCTTAAACCAAATTGCTTTTAAAAAATAAAAATACATAACAAGCTATGCATATCAACTGATGCATAGATGTTTACATTAATTGTATTTGTGCAATTCCACATTCTTCCATATAGACCTTAAGCTATATTGATACATAGCACCTCATGGGTCATAACATCCTTGTTATGACCCATAACAAGTTTAGATAATTATTACAGTATCTGTTAAATTAATGGAGAATGCTTAAAAGCTGTTTGTCAAAACAATTATATATAATCTCCAGTAAACCATTCTATTCTAGATTGCAGCTAGGAGAGAATAATGGCCAGGTTCTTTTCAAACTTGCTTGTAGTCAATATGACAGGTAGTGGAGTAGTTTCATAGATTAAAAATGTTTAATTTAATCCACCAGATCACTTCCTATCATTTTAAATTTATATCCAGGGAGTCTTGGCTCCTCAGGGTTGCCTATTCAAATTTTTAATTTTTAATGTCTTTTAAATTACTTCTTTTGTCAATCTTGTTTAAATCGGGAGGAATTTAGAAAGAAATACTTTGAATATCATATACTTTGGAAAAGTATATGCCACTAATCAAAACCATGTGTTTTTCTTGTCTTATAATGGCTGTATACTCTAAGCATAATACTCTATCACAGTCTTTAAAATCACCCATAATTAATTAACTAGTAATTAGTGGAACATTAGATTTCGCTTTTTCTGTAAAAAGTAAAATAGGCCGGCTGCTTATCTCTGGTTTGAAAATGCACAATGCTTTCATTCAAGTACATAAAAATCTGTCATTGTGAATGGGACCCAAGGAGATTAAACAAGTAGCCTTAATATGTTAATTTATTATTTTAATTACAGCAATTTTGTATATAGTCGTTAGTGTACACTAATATTTTTTCACCTTTTTATTCATAATGCATACACCAATCATCTCATCCTTTCTTGGCAATTGCTGGGGGAGGGTGCTTTTTATTGTTCCAGCTTTCATAACACACTGTTTGTTCTTAGTTGTGAAATCATTTTGTTCACTTCTGCCTTGAATAATCCCTCATTAAGCCAATCATTTTGAGTCCTGTGCTAAAAAGTGAAAAACTGGCAAGTAAGTGCAGCATTCCAAATTGCATACAGGTATATATGTATAAATATTAGTGTATGCCCAGACATGGACATATACATATGTGGTGCTATGTTCTTTTCATTTTAAGCAGTCATAGAACACAATAAAATGCCTTTTAAGGATGTGTCTTTTAATTAGTCCCTCTTCTTTGAATTTAATTTCAATTGTGGTTCATATATTGGCATGACATCTACACTCGTGAAGGTGATGATAAGACCTAGACAGC